AAGACTTCCGAGTAGGTGGTCGACAGGAAGTGACCCTCAGAAGGAGTCGTGTCATTTATGAGCTAATGGTAGAAAATGCGAAATGGCTCAGGCACGCCAATCAGTTGAAGCCGGATCATGGCAAGATTCAAAGTTCCCCAGAACCGTCATCCTTACCGTAGGACATCCTGCTGGACACGTTTGGTTTGGAAGAGGAAGCTGAGTGGCTACGTGGATCACAACAGAATCTGCAAGCATCAGATGATACACAATGCAAGCCGACCCGAAAGCGGAGACGACTGCATAGGCTACAAGTTGACTCCAAGGCGAAAAGCTATGAACGAAATCGAGTTCGGACACTATGCAAGCAGATGCAGTTCGAAAAGGGAGGTAATCAGAGGCCACAACCTAAGAACGCGAAACGGTTTCGAGACTTCTATCATCAGGACACGCGTTGTTACCCGACCGGTGTGTGCTGGGCTGAGTCACGCCGGAAGCTGATGAACTCAGTTCGTCATCATCACACGCGTTGCTACCCGCGCGGCAGCAACACGGCTGTCACGTGGGAAGCTGATGAAATTAGACCGTCAGCATGAAACAGGTTTCCACGTGACAGGGCCGCACGCTAGCAGGTATGGAATCTATCCAGGCAAGTGGCTTGAGTCAGCTCAGGAATTTACAATAGGAGATGATAGATTGTGACCTACAAAATGAACCGTGTTCTGTGCCTAATATACTTCGGTTTAACAGGCTCGGTGTTCTGTTTTCGTCTCCGGCTAGGCAGTTAATCACAGAGGAGAAGCGAGGGGAGCGTCACAACACATTGGAACACGATCTCATAGTGACAGTCGACTCTTTTTACGGAAGTCCCCAAGAGTTTGAGTGCACGCCTTTCGTTCACAGACATGGGCAATCGGGGGTTGTCAAAACCGTCAAAGTCCGTTTCATACATTTGTGCGAATAAATCATCATCATCATCATCATTACACGTTAGCTGGAGGTGGAAAACACCTCAGCTATTGTGCCGCAATACAAAATAAAAGCAAAGGAAAACAGTGGCACGCCCACTGAGTCCCCAGTAACGGATGGACATCGTTCCGGAGAGCTAACAGCTGGCTGCATAAAAAGAGAATCATGTTATGCCTAACAGGTGAGATCGTGATTGGAGGGGGATACTAAACAGGAGGGGGATGGGCAAAGGAAATCACAACACAAACGCCATTGGTGCCGGCTCCGAGCCATATCAGCAAGTGTGTCCAACCAAACGTGTTCACCGTCCTTAGGACCCCAGCCAGGCAGTCGGGATGCACCAACCGACGCCAACTTCGAAGTGAGGGTTTTCATCTCCCTCGACTAAGTCATCACTTGGCCTCCCCTCCTCCTCTTCCAACCGCACCCACAACGCGCAAACAATGCACGTCGCGGGAGTCGGTGTGCTGGCATGCGCAGCACGTGGCCCAGCCATCGGAGCATGGTGCGTGATATAATGGTGCTGAGCGCTTCACTCGCTCTTCCTGCACCAAATACGCGACGTCGAACACGCTCATTGCTCACGCGGTGTTCCCACTAGACATGAGCTAAGCTGCGAAGGCAGCGCTGATCGAATGTGACGAGTTTCTGTCTGTCGACCTGATGGGCCAGGTTTCACAACCATATAAGAGAGTAGAACGAATAAATGGTGTAGGTCGGTGGTTTCGCAGCGAACCGAATTTAACTTCTGTGAACGACCCACTAGAACTGATGCAGACTGATCTTCCTTGAACTCGGGCAGGTTGTTCGGGCCCAACACTAACCAACCCAATGGAGTTCTAAGAGTATACGGATCACTAGCACTCCCGCACCTCTGATCCAAAGTCCAGTGCAAATATGGGTTATCACTTCCGAGCAGAATCTCTATCTTCCCCTTCGATTCTGGAAACCGTAAGTCGCATAAGTGAGGCCATCATTTCCACTTGTGACCGTTTCAACTGTTTCAGAGAGACGACTGACTGACCTGACAGAGTCCAACCAGACTGCCTCACCACCGTCTATCGATTAAACAGTTACACTAGCCGACTGCGAGTTTACCTGGCATCGACAAGCGACGGTACATAGGTTCAGGGTCTTCACAAACCCTTGCACTCCGATATTTTGAAGCAAGTGGGAATCGATCAGCGAAGTGTCTGATCTGTTATCCATTAATGTTAGCGCCCGGACGGTGCCAGCAGGACCAGAGACTAGAACGTGCAATACAAGTGAAACAGCAGGCTTTTCGGCTTGTCTTAGAACGAAACTAGATCCTTCGGTATTCTGTGTCCCGGGATTCTTCTTGCTCTAACCACCATGTAGCGACGGGTGATGAAGTAGCCTACAGTTACTTAATCCACAATACTTTGTAAAGTCGTGGTTTGGTTTGAGACACCGTTGGCACAATCGGTGAAAACAACAAAATTCTAGGCGCTCGTGTTAGTTAACCTTTCGGAATTCATCACATTGATCTAAATAATTGTTTTTCATAGGAAGGGTAGTTAAGGAGAGGCCGTTCTACAGATGTTACAGCATTCGAGTGAGCGGCACGACCTCGGAGATCTAAGCCGCTACTTCTATCATTGTCAGTAGTTGATCCGAAAGTGCGTAGGAGAAAAGACAGGTAAGCATCAACATCGGCTGTTTCACCTACGAACTCTGTCAAATCAATAAAATTTAGCTTTCTTTCCGTCCGGATGACCCTAGCGGCATACTTGAATTGCAAATGGTTCAGCAGTCGTCTAACTATAGCGCTAATTGTTCGTGACGCATTCAGATCAGCTTCGTATCCCAACTGCTTCAGAGTTAAGTAACAGGATCGCAGTTCCACAGCTAAACGAGAAAGGGCTACAAAATCATTGGACTTGATGTTAGGTCCATCAGTTAAAGCCTTGATGTGGGTCTACGGTATTATATGAGGTCGTCCGAGGCGCTTGTGCAAAATACTCTGCTTCTTCGAAACCTCTCTTTGGACTTTACAATCATCAGCAGCAGCAGCAGACACTTAAACTGATGCTTCGCTGCCGTACAGTCATAACGACCTACGGAACGAATAATAAGAGGGAGGGAAGGGGGACCTAGCGGGATATCTTAATGCCTTAAGCAAACATTCAGGATCAAGGCGTCTACACCTTGTTAAGAACATGCCATCCCAACAGCTGTCTATCGTGCAAAGATAAAGCAGCATCGGCGAGACAGCTTTCTTGCGGCTTTCACTACCTCGCGTCATAATCAGCCATTACTCTGCAGATAACACAGCACCGAACACACTTTAAACAGGCAATCCGACTAGAAGACGATGGCAGACACGCCACTGGTGTCGATTGCAAGCCATGTCCTGTAACATCTCGAGCCAAACGCAAGGCCGGTCACGTGGACTACAGCCACGAAGTCGAGACGGACTGAGAGCATCTGGTTTGGTCGTCAGTGACCTCATTTGCTGCTGCCAAGTTAATTTGTGCCCACTTCGGGCTTTACACCACCCTACATCTGACAAAGAAAACAAGGCCGTCCTTGGTGTGCGGTGACCAGGCATACGTAGTACGTGTCCAAGTCAACGCAACTTATTCAGTGCTATCTGTTGTTCTAAGGAACTAGTCTGGTTATCACTGCCTTGTACTCACCTATGCATATCATCATCGCGGGCAAGCTAGTACCATCCAACATCAGCAATGCTTCATAGACAACGATAATCAAAGACTAGAATTCGCGTCCGTTCCTCAGATCGTAGGGATAAAGTCTTGCTTCCGTAGAGTAGGACGGCCCTGTGGTCTTCTATACACGGCCTTTCAGACGGAGGGGATTCCTTTCTCTCGTCAGGTGTCGCGGCTTCAACAAGGCTGTTCTAACTGATTTCAGTTGTTATACGTCCATTGTGGCTGCTACAGCTGCCAAGGTAAGTGAAGTGATCAACTACCTTGAGTTCCTCGACATCAAGGGTCAAGTGGTCAACCAGTGGCTGGTGGTTTTGTAACAGCACTTTGAAGGTGCGAAGCGCATGCCAAATAATGGGACCACTAAAGGGAGGTTATTCTGGGTTGATTGCGCAGCCCCAACGTCCTTAAAAAGCAGGACAATCCTGTCGGTATAATCAAGAGTAATAAGCTTTTTGCCAGACTGCACCTTAACGCCTACATCGTGAGGCTCCGCAAGGGAACCCCCCATGATGGAGTCCACGACAAAGTTGAGCAAACATGAAGAAATCGGACAACTCTGACGTACATTACTTGTTGTCGGAAAGACATCCGACAAATCACCGTGGACCCTGGTGCGGCATGTAGTGTTCGAGTATAGAGCATGTAAAACGTTCCCTTATCTCATGGGAACACCATTCCGCGCAAGTATTTCGAACGGAATGCATCCATCGACTGAGACGGTTCCCTCATCACTAAATCTCGGGAAACCGCGTTCACCTATTCAACATGTCCGAATCATCGACCCCGGCACATTTTGGCTTTTACATCTCATTTGTGTCGGCTCTTTCCCTCGACTTCTTGCGACCACAATACGACACTCGGACCTCGGTAGCAGTCTGATCCCATCACTCAGTTCCACAATGCACTTTTTGACTGACACTCCACTACCTTCCTTAGTATTATGGGATCAGTTTGTGTGTTCGATACAGGTGTGCACGGTTAAACAACTGTTTATGAGAGCACTAGAACGTTCTCTCTTAGCAAGCGCAAAGCGTGAACCACATTGCTTTGGTGCATACAACTGTCAATGGCTTGTCAGATTGCTTTTTTGGATCCATTAGGGAATTTTTACCTAGAAATACCCACTTTATCTCGGATTCTCTTGCCCCGGAACCGTTTTTCTTGCCCGTATATTTCCTCTGTTTATTCGACGCTGTTCCGATTTACCATGGACACAGCACTGAGCTTGGGTACTTAATTGCATGGCGCACTTATTCTTAATCGTGGGTTTGATGTCCCATGATGTTCGGTTCTTTGACAGATCACTTCCACCATTCATGCATAAACCTACACTATTGTCCCATTGTATGTGCGTTTCAGAATCTCTTGGAACTGTGCAGTGCTAGTGAAACGGAGGGTGGCAGAGAAGTACGACGTGAGTCCTCCGTTAAGAATTTCACTGATTTGCGTTGTCTGCGGCCCTGCTTGGCGCATATGGTCTGGGAACCGAACCCTTTCGCACCAGCCATTGTGTTCATCTGTCAATCCCACTCTGCTCCTCCCTCCTTAGTTTATTTTGCCAGGCGCAGACTCGTCATGCTCACGTTGGGATGTGTCATGTCCTTGCGCCCACCCCTTGTTTCAAAATTGCATCTAGCTGTTTCTTTACCTCAATCTATCTATCGATGTCTGTTACTCCGGAATCACTACTCAGTACGGCCATCACCAGCATATCAAACCAAGTTCTCTGTGCTTCCGTACAACTCCTTCCTCTTGTTTTATTTTGATATTTCACTACTGATACCTGTTAAGTAGTTTATTTATCTGCGCTTGACAATAAGCGTCCAGTTACATCGAATTTTACGAAGTTCGTTACCTGTCACCAGTAAACTTTTCTAACTTACAGAATGGCTCCAAACAGCAATATGTGATCACCTCTCATGCGATCGGTATTGGGAAGTTCCTGATCAGTGGGTAAGTCCATTTTCAGCCTCATTTATTGAATTAAGAAGTGTTCCTTTCTGCCCGGCCTCACTTCAACTTTCACGGTTCAGCTCTTTTGCTGTCTTACGTAAGCGTGCTGATCCGGTCAATGACCGCATTGAAGTGGAGAGTCACAGTAGTGGAATGGTTCAGGCTGGTGACTAACGAGTCACTGACTCGAACCCGTACAAGGCCACAGATGGTTGCGAGGTAGCGAAACAAGTACTAAAGAATAGCGTATTTTTGTGCCACTACTCACCTCCCTTTTCTTCCTTCAGTTCACCATCTCCCTTCGCCATGAGCTTTGAGGGACATTGATTTGGGAAATCACACCTCAGTGAGGATATCAGTCAACCACTTAAAGAGGTTTATTAATATTTCGCCTTTTCTAAGTTCGTTTGATTCAAACAGCTGTACCTTCCAGTATGGTTAGATCTTATGAGGTAAAGTTGCCATCGTGCACACTCGTAATGAACAGGATAAACCTTTTGGATGAGTATCTTAATGTACATGTTATGCGCTACAACACCCCAACGTATGGTTACAAGGTTCGCCATCCCCCAGCAATGCGAACACTTTTCAGCTCGATCGCCGTGCCTATTCGTGCCACATGAGTGCATTCAGTGTGTCTGGCGACCAAATGCTAAGGCCCACAGTCTTTTGTTTGCGTGTGTTTAGGACAAATGACCGGCGTCTTGCGATGCGCATTTTCCATACCATTCGACAGGTAAATTATGGATGCATATTAGGAACTCGCTTGAAAACATGCTAGGCTTTTTCTCGACTTATCCTTACAACTTTACTTTTCTGAAATTGACCCTAACTTGCTATACTACTGCTGCCAGTTTACCGGTGACTACAACCACTTGGGGACAGCAAAGGTTATCTGGGTTACTTTCAGTAATCTACGCTCTAAACTGAGTCGCTCGCTTTGGGTGTAGAGCGCTCCAATAGAGCAATTACCAGGCAACGTTTGTAAACGCAGCACATTTGTCGTTGGGTTATAGTATATTCCTCGCTTCTGCTCTAATTAACGTTGACCAAGGTGGGCTACTTCTATCTCATTGCCAAGCAATCTGTTTAAACAAGCACCTTGCCGTGTGTCCAAGATGCTCTACATCATAGGTGCAAGTGAACTGATTTAACATGATTTTGACTGGACCGGGAATTTATCCTCTAGGGGCTAAAGAATCAATTATCTTATTTCGGTAAGTAGTTTTAGCTTATCAGCAGAATACGTCTAGGCCACTGCGATTGAATGTTTCTTACTCAACATTTCGTAAGCAATATCACCTTTAAACACTGTCCTGTATCACTGCGAAAAGCAACAGTGAAGATCATCAACAGTTCCATTCTGCAACCCTAGTTGCGACTGTCCATCAAGTTCGAATGAATGAGTCCTTTGAAGTCGTCTACAACATTCCTAGACGCTACCCAAAAAAGCTTACGATGCGTCTGTTAGTCATCGTCGAAGCCATCGCCACTAGGGTCTTGAGACCAGAGATGTGCAAACAGCGGACTCTGGTACAAGCTTTGAGTTTGCCTTGGCCCTGAACTCGCTTTAACATTAAGTGTCCAACATTGCTCACGTGTGCTTGCGCATGCTGACTGATCTGATTGAACAAGTCATTGACTGATAGTTCCTACCGCTTAGCTAACCAGCTGTACACAAGTGTTGTTTCTTCTATGTTTATTTATCCAACTCTGATAATGCTTTAAATAGCTTATTCACGTCATAATTTTGCTTTATAATTGTAGATGCCTAAAGTTATTTATCGAAAAGAATATCCTTCGCACAATTGTTAATTTCTGACTCCATTGGAATAATTTATGAACTTATCGTAAAACCTAAACGCTTCAAGCAAACAATTAGAGTCAAGGGCCTACACCTTATCAACAACATTCGGTCACGAACAGCTGGCTATCGTGCAAAGATAAGGCGGCATCAGCGAGATAACGTCCTTGTGTCATAGCCAGTCATTTCCCCCTCAGATAACTCAGCACGAAGCACACACTTTAAACAGCCAATCCTGTTTCACAATCTCACTTGCGCCTTTTGTTGGCACTCGTTTTCGCCCTGTGTGCAAAACGCACGCACTCTTTATTGCAATGTTGTGTTGTATTCATCTGCTACAGCCTTCCACCTCCTCCACTCCTACTTTCCTTCTTGTGGCTCTCGCGGCACTTGGGATCGCCGTTTACTACGTTGTTTTGGTGATACGCATCAGGCAAGTGGTCGAGAAATTAACGTCTTTCAACACTTTGTCTTGTCTTACTTTGAAGCATTGCTTTCTTGCAGTTATTTTGCACGTGGTGTTGGTTCCAGTGAGGACATTCATCCTAATCCTATTGTCGAGCAACCGAGTGCACTTGGCCATTTGGTTTACCATTCCTAATTTATGGCTTTTTAGGCTTGTATCTCAACCCTATTTGACACAATTTAAGCCATCTAGCGATGCTGATCATGATCGAAATCTTTTTCTTATTTCGTCTCTTTCTCTTTTTGCATTGCAGCAGCCCACCGGATTCCCTACCCGCATCCAGTTTATCCTCCCCCTACTACTTCCAATCGCTTTCATCTCCTCCGCGTACCCACTGTGCCGGAAAGAAACGGTCTCGTGTCCACCGTGACTGATCCACCGAATTACTTTCAAGGACTTATATTTCCTATTTTTATCACTTTGTGATTGCTGCATTTCATTTTCCGAAAACGACAAGACTTCGATCACTTTACTATTTCATCGAGTTGAATAGCCTCGGAGAAAGTAGCCGTGAATAGCGAGGTACGTTTTTTGAGCAGCAGTCTCAATAGTAGTAGATTGTGCCGGAGCGGATAGATACTCACAGTCAATACGGCTTATACGTCTTCAGCGTTAAAATGGATTGAATGCCTGCATTTACTAGGTTAGTAGTTTACTCACTTCAGCAGTCAACTTTTGGGCCATCCTTCCCAATTTACATTGGTTCGGTCACCGGCGCGGAGCACAGATTTACTCTTTTGTCACTTCTATGCGCTTTAATCAGAAAAATTCCTGTGTGCGCTGGGCGTTAAAATACTATCTCGTGAATGTCAGCCGATCAGGTTATCATCATTCTAAATCTTAGCTGAGAATGAGAAAAACCTTATTGTACCTCAATACAATACAGTAAGATAGTAACAAAGAATATACAGACTAATATGTAATGAAAAAACAAGGCGGCAACAAATAGTATTATGCATGAACAGTGTAATCATGCTTGGAGGAGAGACTATGAGTCAAAGGAACTTACAACACAAACGCCACTGAAGTTCATTCTCCGGCAAATCCATGAGTACATTAAAATATACCTGCCCTGACAGTTTCTAAATGCTATGTTGTACATAGCTACTCTTAGTGGACGTCGTGTCTTTCGGGGCCAACCCTGTCCTCTGCAACGTTCGTAACTTGCATGGCAGTGGAGGATAAGACGTGCTATATCGCAGTTAGCTTGTAAATCATGACGGTCCAAAGCTGTCCCTAGTGGCATAAGCTGCTGACTGGCGGTTCAAGCCGCTGGTGGTCATGGGTTCGAATCCTGATGGATACGCACTACTGATGATGCCCAACAGGCTGAAACTGCAGTCTAGTGCTTTTCTGGGCATGTGGACGACTATCTGATTTGGAAACTGGCTGCGAAGAACCTCACATAATTAAATCCAAAAATGTCTGCGACCAAACTGATTCATTTTCGGAATCCAACCAAGAAGTCGGGAAGCACCAACTGAAGCCGAGTTCGAAGTCAGAACCTTTATGTTCTCTTCGCCAGGTTAACGGTTGGCTTCATCTTCTTTTCTTCCATCCATACCCTGGTCGACTAAGCAACACACGCCGGGTTAGTCAGTGTGCTGATATGCGTAATACATGGCCTAGCCATCGGAGTCTGGTGCGCGCAATGACGACGCTGAGCGCTTCACTCAGTCTTCCTGCAACAAGTGCGCAAATCGGAACACGCTCACTGTTTAGGGCGTGGGCTCACCAGATGTGCGAAAACACCGGTGATCAGACACAACTAGCCTCCTTAAGTCTGTCGCCCTGATAAGACAGGTTTCACAACCGCACATGAGAGTTGAACGGACGGCTGCATTGTAAAATCTGGTGTCGCGCCGACGTCACAGGTGGCGAAGCTTGACTAAAGCATCTCGAGGTTTTGTTATTTACGGCTCGAGATTTCCTCTCCTATTCCAAATGCGCTAATATAGATGCTCAGGTAGTTGAATTATTGTGCGTCTAATTGATCACCACCAAAGGTCAGTTCCGGGGTGGGTCCGTGCGAATCTTGCAGAACTGCTCTGCATTTCGAGCGTGCAAAGCGGGTGACAGTCAGTCCTAATTCGTCCAGATCTGCCACAGATTGGGGTAATATCGTCTCGACTAGTACACTCAAATGAGTGTGGCAGCGCTTGGGAAATGGAACATGGATGAGGACCACGTAACTTCTACTTTGATGTAACCCGAATAATGTAGCTAAATGTACGCAAGACAACCCAGCCTAGTCAAGATTTACGTGTGCTGTTTATGAAATGGTTGGCATAGTTCTCGTTTGATATCTTGCATCTATGCAAACGTAAAGTAGCCAGCTATACCCATTGCTGTCGCCACTTTGTAACCGAAAGGAACCGGGTTGAGTCCATCCTGCCCATCATTCTTGTACAAGTCCAGGAAAGTGAGTTCGATGCACGATAAGACAGTAACTGTTCGACGAGCAGTACTCACAATCTATTCTCAACATGACATATTCCACAAAACAACTCACCTGCACCTCGTTTGGCCTCAACGTGTTCGGCGGAAGGAATAGAGCTTCACACTCAGGATCGGCGAGAATGGCGTCCAACTGGGGGAATAGCACCTGTCGCTCAGACGACAAGCTGTTTTGAAACAAATCTGGTCTACCGGTTCGTCGATCGCGACATGACTGGATCTTTATGTGGTGCGACTGACTACATGCTTCAATAATCCGTTGCGCTATGCTGGTTGGTGGTTTTTGCTCCTTTGCAACCACTCATACTAAGTGGTCAAGGGTTAAAGGTCCACCAGGTTGATGGCTGCAGTTTAGGTGCTTCTTTATTCCGTAAAACAGATCTTCTCTTAGCCCCGTGCCAAAATCTCGCTGCAAAGCAGCTAGATATTTTAAACAAAGTTTTGGTTAGTAAATGTAATTCTTCACTTACCTGGCCAACCTGACAGTATCCTATCTGCACAATACGATGACCTTATTTTCAAACCATTTCTCGATGCATTGGCCGTCGCAGAGGATAATCTACTGCATCCATCAAGGTGGATAGAGATGCTACTGCTCAGGCCTTCCAGTTCTTTTATACCTCCTCTTACACCCTTTCATCCTTATCGTCCTGTTTCAACCACACTGTTATACCCCTATTTTCAACCCCCAATCTTGGGCCTCCCCATTCCGCCTCTACATTCGTCCGTAGTCTAATTTCAACTCACGCATACCCTGTCTGCAGGTCCAACCAAGCGGACAGCCTCAGTTCATCCGCTGCTAACAATTCCCGTAAGGATGAAACAGCCGTACAGTGCTTCTCTGGGCGTGTGATGGCTGTCTGATTGAGTCTAGATATGATGAATTTCTAATTATATCATCCGTTTCTATTAGGAATCTTTGATCCTCGCTAAGAATGATATGTCTCCAAATGCGCACCTTATAACAAATTGGTCAGTCGGCAGCATTTGGCCGATGAGTCGCTATCCACTGCTTCTCGGAAACCTACCTACAAGGCTCTATATCCACCCTGCGGTTCTCTTCACTTGACTCTAGCACTATTTCCTCATCGCGTCTATCTTGAGATGGTTGGCGGCATCCGGTTTCGGATTTGCCTGTCACTGTGGCCAGCCACAGGACGCCTGCGCCTACAGAGGGACCACGGGTGGCTTGCGCTGCACCACCCACAGCTCCAACCACATGCCGTATTTCCAGTGTAAACCCGAAGCAATAAGACCGGGATGCATGTGGATGGGAGCCAGGTTTCATCAACGATGCCGACCCACACTCTTTCACAGGCAAACACAAGCACGCTGTATTTGGGAATCAGTCGCACACAAGGCGGTGGCTGGACCGTAGGCCGCTCCACACTGAGTGCATGGAACCACTCTTCGAGCCTAGCACGACCACAAGGACCGTGCACCCCCATCCCCTCCAGCAACGACCAACTATTTCCTAGAGACATTATGGACGAGGTAGTGGGTAATAGACAGGTAGACACCCTGTCAACATGCACATCAAGTGCAGCCGCACTGGGGATGTCAAACGACAGCCAATCACTGGAAATGACAGTAAGAAATAAAATATATCTGTTACAGAATACGGCTATGCAGACATAACTCTTCCCTAAATTAGCATATGTTGGTTAGCAACGAATCCACGATAAGTAAAAAAATGTCCAGAAGTGACTCAGAAAATGCTACAAACGCAATAAAGTTAACGAAGATAAGCACAATTACCGTAAGCAACGTGGAAATTTAATAGAAGATTATTCCGGTAGGCAGAACAAATCAATTGAAGTGGGATGAAATTTATCCAGCTTAAAAAGAGGCCTAGTTTAAGTGTAAGATGGTTTAGCCCAACTGCGGTGAAGAAGCATCATGAATGCAACATCAGCCTCAAGCATAGCACGACCACAAGGACCGTGCACCACGTCCCCTCCAGCAACGACCAACTATTTCCTAGAGACATTATGGACGAGGTAGTGGGTAATAGACAGGTAGACACCCTGTCAACATGCACATCAAGTGCAGCCGCACTGGGGATGTCAAACGACAGCCAATCACTGGAAATGACAGTAAGAAATAAAATATATCTGTTACAGAATACGGCTATGCAGACATAACTCTTCCCTAAATTAGCATATGTTGGTTAGCAACGAATCCACGATAAGTAAAAAAATGTCCAGAAGTGACTCAGAAAATGCTACAAACGCAATAAAGTTAACGAAGATAAGCACAATTACCGTAAGCAACGTGGAAATTTAATAGAAGATTATTCCGGTAGGCAGAACAAATCAATTGAAGTGGGATGAAATTTATCCAGCTTAAAAAGAGGCCTAGTTTAAGTGTAAGATGGTTTAGCCCAACTGCGGTGAAGAAGCATCATGAATGCAACATCAGCCTCAAGCATAGCACGACCACAAGGACCGTGCACCACGTCCCCTCCAGCAACGACCAACTATTTCCTAGAGACAGTATGGACGATGTAGTGGGTAATAGACGAGTAGACACCTTGTCAACATTCACATCAAGCGCAGCCACACCGGGGATATCAAACAACAGCCAATCACTTGAGAGGAAGATAACCAAGAAAGTAAATCGAGTAATGCACTAAAAAACGGTGACATAACTCTTAAATTAGTGAGCTTATGAAATAAGTTGTTTACCAACGAATACGAGGTAAGTTCACGTGGTCAGAAGTTTATTTTACGGAAATGCTACAAACACGAAAATGTTGTCGAAATAACTACAAGTGGCTTAAGCGACGTGTGCAAGTGTATAGAAGAGAGTATAAGTAGGCATTTATATGGGAAAGAAAAGCATTAGGACAAAATTGAAAACCCACCACCTGAAATAAATAGACTTAGCATGTAAGCACGCGGTTAGTAAATCGAATGCAGCGTACCTACAAACGCTGCGCCAGTTCTGCCTACGTTCTCTGCAGGACCCGTCGTCGCTTCGGTAGTGGTCCCGAGTGGCCTCGCTCATGGCT